AAAAGTATGGACATCTTGGTGGTGATTGAAGAATGATACGACGTGATTCTGAAGAATCTGGTCACGGTAACAAAGGGCATTAACTCTCCCTTGACAGACATGAAGGGCAGTTCTGTGATTGTAACTTATTGCACCCCAGACCATGACACTCTCACCACCCTACGGTCTGTCTGAACCACACACCGATAAGCATAACGTTCACCACGTCTACGCCAAACACGTAATCGGCCGTCGGCATTACGTAGGTGAAGACGTGACTCGTCAGTGACTACCACACCATGCCATTGTTGTAAACTTTACTGAACATGCCTGTTTGCCAATTGCATACGCTCATTACGGTGTCTGTCAGTAAGAATTGGTCCAACGTAAGGACGTCGAGCATGGAGCCCTGTAGCGTGTAGACAGCGTCGGATGGTGTCAGCGCTGATGACCCCACGTCGACCTTGAACTAGTGCAGCAGTCCTAGCAGTCGGCAGTGTTTGATCACGGATATGGTCAAGGTCAATATGGCGATCCTGACGGGAGGTCGTGACACGTTGTTGCCAAGGTCGTTGAAGGTCACGGGTGCTGCCTGTCTGCAGATGTCGTCTATGAAGCCCAACGATGGTGGAGTGGCCAATTCCAAGTTGTCGAGCAATATCCCTGCTGCTGGTGCCAACCTGAATCATGCCTAGTGCACGTTCTCTTCCGTGAGGTGTTAACCTCGGCATCTCTGTCCTCGTTTCACAATCGTTAGTGAAACAATGAGGATCGTTTCTCATACACCTGCTTTTAATGTCACAGTCAGCATGATTTCAGAATGAAATTCGCGCTTTTTCATGGAGTGGCTGCAGGTTGATGTGTTTTGGAGTAAAGTGTCATACTGTGAACAGGAATTTGTTTCTAAAGCATTTTGTCAACCGACATGCCCTTCGACTTCATGTTAGTTATATTCATTGATCATTGTCCTGCTGAAATCCATCTTGAAGAAAATATGGACAATTTTAGACTGGTGCGTTTTCAACGATGTTCAGTATATTATTATTATTAGTTTTGCATCAGAATAATACCTTTAATAATTTAATTTATTCGTTTGTATATATTTATCTACTCAAGTGTATTTATCCTTCCTTTATTCCTTAATGTATGCCTTCTTATAAATGTGCTTTCCCGTCGACTTCTGTTGTTGTACATACAACTTGCTGTCTTACTGAATGCGGCTTTTCATTTATGGGGATAGTTTGAACTTCATAAAAGATATTTTATAACGTTTACTGATTTTAAAATGAATAGAATCATTTGCTAAATCTGGAAAACACTCACAACAACATTCCTATGTATTATTATCAGCTGTATACATCAAAGCATAGTTCTCAGTCATTTATCTCAAATTTGCTTTTCCTATTTTCCTAACTGCTTAGTATTCCAGGTATTTCTGAAACGTAAGTACGGTGTTTATTTTATTTTCTGACACTATGCTCAGGCAAATCTGAATGTTTACGGTCTTAATTACTGTAACATGTCTTGTTTATAGTTTCTCATAAGGTAATGTCGTATTTTTTGTATTACTGAAGCTTTAATTTATGATATCACTCATGGTCTAAGTAATGATATCACTCAAGGTTGAACATGATATCACTCAATGTTGAACATGATATCACTTAAGGTTTAAGTTATGATATCACTCAAGGTTGAACATGATATCACTCAAGGTTGAACATGATATTACTTAAGGTCTAAGTTATGATATCACTCAAGGTTGAACATGATATCACTCAAGGTTGAACATGATATCACTCAAGGTTGAACATGATATCACTTAAAGTCTAAGTTATGATAGCACTCAAGGTTGAACATGATATCACTTAAGGTCTAAGTTATGATATCACTCAAGGTTGAACATGATATCACTTAAGGTCTAAGTTATGATATCACTCAAGGTTGAACATGATATCACTCAAGGTTGAACATGATATCACTTAAGGTTGAACATGATATAACTCAAGGTCTAAGTTATCACTCAAGGTTGAACATGATATCACTCAAGGTTGAACATGATATCACTCAAGGTTGAAGGATATCAACATTGAACATGATATCACTCAAGGTCTAAGTTGTGATATCACTCAAGGTTGAACATGATATCACTTAAGGTCTAATTTTGAGTTTTACAAATGGTTTGCTACTGGTATCGTTTATTGATGATTTTGAGTTTACTTTCCGTGTAAGTGTTTTCCAGTCAATATTGTTCTGCATATTTTGTTCCTATCAGCAGCTACCTGAAATGAAGAACCAACGATGTAGTTGGTCTGTCTGCAGAGATGACAATAAGACACGCTCGTTTCAAATTGAAAAGCAACCACCACGTATGTTATATGTATGTACACCAGTGTCAACTTTCTATATATGAATATTAAGCAGTTGTGTTTAACCTTATTAGGTTACACCCTGACCTACATCTGCCGAGGGGCGGTGGGGTAGCCTAGACGTTTAAGCATTCGCCCGTCACGCCAAAGATCCGGTTCGATTCCTCACATGGGTACAATGTGTGAAGCCCATTTTGGCGTTCCCCGCCGTGATATTGCAGGTATATTGCTAAAGGCGGAGTAATACTAAACTCACTCCGTCTACTGAATCAATCTGTGGAATCGGTTTGTTTAATCAGTGTATTGAATCAGTATGTTGAATCGGAGTTTTGAATCAAGGGACTACAAATCGCCACAATGTGCTGTGCAGGGTTGTGTCCTCTGACAGATTCCTATGGCCATGGGTTCGAACCCATGATTCGCCGTGATTCTGTTTGTTTTGCTCCGTATCCGCGTTCCCGGGTTTCACAAAACTAAGGCCTGCTTCACTTCCGACTTCGCTCCTACACCAAACTGATACAGTAGTCACATCTAGGAATGATATGAGTGAGTGAGTTTAGTTTTGCGCCCCACTCAGCAATATTCCAACTATATGGTGGCAGTCTGTAAATAATCGAGTCTGGACCAGACAATCCAGGGATCAACAACATGAACATCGATCTGCCCAATTGGGAGCCGATGACATATGTCAACCAATTCAGAGAGCCTGACCACCCGATCCCGTTAGTCGCCTCTTACGACAAGCATGGGTTACTGAAGATCAATTCTAACCCGGATCTGCACGGGTCTCATAAGAGACTAACATAGTCTACAAGTCACTCATTGGATAATAGAATGGCCCTAATTTTTAATCGCATGTTATGTTATATTCCAGGCGGTGAGTGTGGTCTCCAGCTTGAAGACAGGATATCGCAGCCTACTTAATCTGGAGTTTGGTATTCCGAATTTTGGAAGGAAAAACTATAAAACCACCATGATTTCATTCAGCCACAGAAGATTTCTAACTGATATACTGTAATAAAATACAGATGTGTCGAACGGTAATGAGTTGATTTCTCGGTTGTGTAGAAACGAATACCCGATCCAAGCGATATTTTAAAGTTTCATTGTGTGTTTTACCTCTGATAAGTCGAATCGGATATGACGAACTGATTTTATTATTCCGATTCAGAGCAGAATAACCCTTGGCAGCAAACTCAATGTTTACATCATATGCGCAATAGTTTAGAAGGATGACAACCTGTGGTTCTTTAATCCAAGACGGTTTTAATTACTGTCAACTCCGACGACTGCTACGGTCTGATATAAGTCACGAAGGGCCATGATTTGTGAGTTGTTTCCGGAGCAGCGGTAACCGTAGTTCTTGGAACGAGTTACACATTTGCCCAGGCCCTTGGTTTGTACGCATCGCATATATACACGTTAGAAGCTGTCTTCTACGTGTTTGTCAGTTGTGAGGCTGAACGTGTGGTGATAGACGTACCTCGTACTTGACGGAATTATTGTCTGGCAGCCCAAAGACAGTTTAAGTTATAAAGCTGGGTAATACTATTGCTGTGCACACTTGTCGGACATGTGTCAAGCTCGTGAAAATATGATCAGCTGAGCAGAGCATGTCCATGAGAACTGCAGACGGATGCAGATTGTAGGTCGCTCATCTGCCAAAAAGCAGGCAAGGTAGGCAAATGGGACAGAGCCGACAGACGCCGAGAAACCAGAAGAAAGGCAAGCCAGGGACTTAGAGGGACAAACTGACCAGTCAATCCAACCATCTACAGCCTAAAAGTCAGTCTCACTTCGCCCTTTCCCCAGGTAGCCTCTGCCGGACTCGCCCTGCCCCACAAGTTGTACGTTAACCAATCAAGACTAGCATTCTTGTTGTCACTACGCCTCGTGTAGTCTCAAGAGCTCCTGAAGTGTTACAGCTGTTGAACACTGATCTGTTCGATTAAAAATCAATGCCTAGACAACCAATCAATAACTATATAGAACAAACTTTATGGATAACAACTTCTTTTTATTCGTGAGTGCGACGTTTCGATACAGATTCTTGTACCGTTGTCAAGCATAATGGAACATGGAGAGGGGAAGTGTATATATACTGGCTGTAACAATGTAACAAAGAAAACAACATAATTAACATAATTGGCTAGGCAGAAAGCTGATGAAGCCAGAAAGTAGACAGAGAGTTGTTTCTTTGTTACATTGTTACATCCAGTATATATACACTTCCCCTTCTCCATGTTCCATTATGCTTGACAACGGTACAAGAATCTGTATCGAAACGTCGCACTCACGAATAAAAGAAGTTGTTATCTATAAAGTTTGTTCTATATTGTACTTCCCAACTTCTAAAATGCCACTCAAACACACAATCAATAACTGATCTTTAATGCTTACTTTGTCAAACATGGCGTTGTATGATGCAGTATTATTCATCATAAAACAGTGTAAACCAGGATTAAATCTTTTTGTGTAAGTAAAACTGACAGTAGGTGGTGGGTACATCTGCAGTCACTTACAGTAGGTGGTCGGTCCATCTGCAGTCACTGACAGTCCCGCGGACTTTGGGTCCATCTGCAGTCACTAAAAGTCCCGCAGGCTGTGGGTCCATCTGCAGTCACTGAAAGTCCCGCAGCTTGTGGGTCCGTCCGCAGTCACTGTCAGTCCTGCAGCTTGTGGGTCCATCCGCAATTACTGACAGTCCCGCAGGCTGAGGGTCCATCCGCAATCACTGACAGTCCCGCAAAATGAGGGTCCACTCGCCATCGGGCTCAATGAGGTCACCCTTTCTCATGGCCTCCAGCGATGCAAACGAAGCATAACATGTTTTCCCAATATTTACACTAAGCATGAAGGCTCTTGTTTCTGTGTATTCAATCGATCTGCACAGTCCCTCCTTCATCGTTAGGCATCTCCTCTTGCAGTCTTCAGGCCCTGCAACTTGGTAGAATCTGACGTCATTGTTGCCCTTCACACCAAGATCTGGATACACACTAAAGGTAGTGCCAAAGGTTGAACCTGAAAGAGCAAATGACAGGGGTTTAAACACTATTTCAGTGACGTCACGGCGTCAGGGCCACCCATGACAAAACACCAACCTACCAAAGGTCGTACCGATTCACACTTTGACTCATCGCACGAGCATAGATACTGTGAGACAAACCATATGGCGATCGAAAACCAAACACGCAAACAGGCAGATCCTGACGCAATCAAGGGACGCTATTCTGCACTTCTGTATACCCTGATTAATGAGGGAACGACACAATCATTCAGCTAAAAATACGACATACACCTTCAGAATAACTGGATAAAGAATATACTCGATCCAAGTGTGTAACTCGATTGATAGGGAAATTGGGGATCAGCTGGTCTGGCTCGCTGAATTGGTTGTTGCCTGTCATCGAAAATATATTCTGTAGATAAATGCTTTGGGCGTCAATCTGGTAAAGATTCCATTATTTACAGTGAGTGAGTGATTGTTTAGCTTTACGCCGCACACAGCAATATTGCAGCGATATGTCCGCGGTCTGTAAATAATCGAGTCTGGACCAGACAATCCAGTGATCAACAGCATGACCATCGATCTACGCAGTTGGGATACGGTGACATGTGTCAACCAAGTCAGCGAGCCTGACCACTCAATCCCGTTAGTCGCCTCTCACGACAAGCATGGGCTACTGAAGACTAATTCTGACCCGGATCTTCACGGGTCGGCGACAGATGGAATGCATACGTCAAACATGGTAAAAAAATTTTTTTAGTTCGGTCAACTAGTTTACAGCTGGTGTATTTCTTAAAACAACACTAACTCACTGAATAGAATGGACACATAATGACATATTTTAAAAGCTGGGATCACTCACTCACTCACTCACTCATATCCATTTCTGTGAAACGACGCTGCGAACTTGGTAAAATATATTTCACAGTATTGTTTTGTAAAGTCAGTAAACGTATAACAACCACTCACACTGCATACATGCCCCGGCGGACGGTGAGTACAACAAACGTGGACGACAGTAACATTTTCCGCCGTAGCATCCCGACCCCTCCATTAGGCTGTCACAGTCGCTGTCGAGGTAACAGGACCCACCTATGACGCGATGCTTCATTGCTGAAATGGCGAGCATATATAGTCTCTACGTTAAAAGGCGCAAATATTTGTCCAGTAAAAGTCATGTGACCTCACGTACTGATTTGTTTCCCTCAGATATTGGCACCAGCTTATTATTAATACCAATATTATGGTAATAAGTCTGAATATTGTCAATGAGCTGTTGCAATATTCCGTTAACTGAAGTGGGGAAGGTTTAGAGCCCACTTCAAGATCTGTTTGATATATCTGCCAAGTCTTGTAGAAAGATATTGAACGGTTTCCGAGTTGTGCTCCGGAAACGTAGCCCACTCCTCCCTTTGAGACTAAATCTGAATCGTTACCATGCAAACCGGGAAAATAAAATTGAATACCAAAACTCCGCAAATAACAAAGGCACCACTTTGGGATCTGCCTTATATATCTGCCAATATTTAGTGATAGATATTGAGCGATTTTTGAGTGATGCTCTGGGAACGAAATCCACCCCTTGTTGAGACTTAGTCCAAATTGTTTCCATGGAAATCCAGAAAAATGCCAAAATCTGTAAATAGCAAAAGGCACCACTTTAAGTTCTGTTTGATATATATACCTATTTTGTTGAAACATTGAACGGTTTTTAGCTCAGGAAACGAAATGACTACGGACTGACATAAAGACGGACGAGGCGTCGACTTTATACCCCACACTATATGCCAAGGGAATAAAAATCAGCACCATAAATAACGTGACGAAAAAGATATGACGTAAAACACGTCTAGTTTTTACGACAATTTGACAGCACAGTATTATGTCTTCCAATTTGACTAATCAGTATTTGGCATACATGAAGGGCCACCTCCTCGTGGTGGGTGCTGGGTCACGCTAAGCGCCCTTCAACCCCCCGTTGTGGACCCGGGGGGATATTAGGTCCACCAACCCGTTTGCCGTGGGTTGCGCCCCTGTGTCGGTGGAGGAAGGTAGTCTGGTGGTTGAGGGCACTGGTTCCAGGAACAGTGTTCCTTTGCCCAACACACCACTTTGACCCTGACTTCACCTAGACGGGTGGTAGAATGGGCCCGGTTCTACCAATCGGCTGGTCATGTCGAGCCCTGTGCATTAAATTGTATCTGCACAAAATTTATATTATGTATTACATTTTTGACTTTAGGTCTTGACGCATTTTTGTTTATAAATCATCACTTGATTTTGAAATATGTACTATTTAAATTGCCTAGAGTCTTATGCCCAGAAGGCGATGGCTCATGGGCCAATCTGGTAGATTGATTACTTGTTTAATCTTTCTGCTTGAGTATATCATCCCAGTATCCTTGGTGCTACAAGTCGGAGGTCCACTTGTATATAGCACCGTCTTTTATGACACTCCGTGGTGGGTGGGGAGCTGGGTTGATGAATCTTTTATACATTAACATGGAACCTGAAACCCCCCTGAGAAAAAAACGTCAGCTTGATAATGATCAAAACACAAATGATAGTTATAGACCATTGACGCAGGTAGATTACTGGCCAAGATTTCTAGTGATAGAATCTCCAGACAAAAAGCCAATTAAACTCAACCCGTTTGCTGTATCTAAAGCAGTGTATGGTATTGCAGGAGACGTTAAAAATATCAAGCGAATGAGATCTGGGTCGTTGCTCATTGAATGTAGTAAACGACATCAAGCAGCTAACCTGCAGTCAATTGATACTTTGGCTGGATTCCCTGTTTCAGTGTCAATCCATCGTACACTGAATTCAAGTAAAGGCATAGTCAGGGATCGAGATCATCTTTTGGAGGACATGACGGAGCTTGACATCATGCTTGAACTCAAAGATCAAGGTGTTACGTACGTGAAACGTTTTACGAGGCGTAAGAATTCAGAAGTGATTCCAACAAACACATATCTGTTTTCATTTGTCTCTCCGACGGCACCAAAATCAATCAAAGCCGGATATTGCAATCTTGAAGTTGAATTGTATATTCCAAATCCATTGAGGTGTTTTAAATGCCACAAATTTGGTCATGGGATAAATTCTTGTTCAAACCCTATAACTTGTGCTCATTGTGGGGAGCAATCTCATGTCACAGAAGACTGTACAAACAACTTTAAAAAATGTGTCAATTGTTCAGGACAGCATTCCTCCTCATCAAAAGACTGCCCGGTATGGAAGAGGGAAATGGAGGTCAATAAAATAAAACATTCTCAAAACATCAGCTATGCTGAAGCTAAGAAACTTGTTCCATCTGTTTACCCAAGTAACTCTTATGCTTCTGTTATTAAAAGAACACTCACGACCACAGCCTCAGTTGAATGTCAAACAGAGCTGACATGGATAAAATCTTCTACTCCTGAACCCATCCCAAATCAAGACTTGTTGACACGAGGAGAATCTGCTACCCAGACTGCAGACGTGTTACAAGCTACAGTGACGGCCTCTCAACCTCAGTCTATGCCTTCTTCACAGAAGGATTCTGCTTGTCCAAAGACTCAACCAGATAAAGGGAAGTCCTCCGGTACAACCGTTCATTCAAAATCCAAATCAGATTCGTGTCCATCTAAATCTGTGCATGGAACTCAAGTTACGCAAACTGTGAAAGGAAATAAAAAACTAAATAGAATCAACCATAGCGATAGAATCGCTAAAGGTTCAAAAGATGACATCCAGCTTTTTAACAAGTATGGGTCTCTCGAAGATATGGATACGTCCGAACTTATCCATCATCGGTCAGGGAGTTCATCGCCTTCTAAATCAAGGCGTGGTAGATCGCCAGTAAGTGCACCCAAATCATGAATCATTCACAAAATATATTACAGTGGAATTGTAGAGGGTTAAGGACTAACTTTAATGAATTGCAGCTTTTAGTCCAAGATTTGTCACCACGAGCATTTTGTCTGCAGGAAACATATCTGAAACAGACAGATACGTTTAATCTACGTCAGTACGTTGCATATCATTCCTTCTCACCTCCGGGTGATAGAGCCACTGGTGGATCATCAATCCTTGTTAAGCATGATGTTATTCACAGCCCTGTCCCACTTACAACTAATCTTCAAGCCATTGCAGTGAGACTTACACTTCATGTTGTCTTTACATTATGCTCACTGTACATTCCGCCTTCTTCAACACTTCACCTGACTGATCTTCAAGCTCTCTATGATCAACTTCCGAAACCCTGCATTATCATGGGTGATCTTAATGGCCATAATCCGCTCTGGGGTGGTACAAATACTAACACTAAAGGCAAAATCCTGGAAGATTTTATCTCAAATAATGACATGTGCATATTTAATGATGATTCAAGCACGTATCTGCATCCTGCAACAGGCACCTACTCTTCTCTGGATTTGTCTCTTTCAGACTCAAATCTACTTAATGAATTTGATTGGTCAGTACACAACGACCTCTGTGGCAGTGATCACTTTCCCACGACACTATCAGAAACTTATCCAACTGATTCTCCATCTATTACAAGATGGAATTTTTCGAAGGCAGACTGGCCTTTATTTCAAACTTTATGCACATCTAAACTAAGACCCGAATGTTTCAGTGATATTGCTGATCCTATTCAGGTATTTTCTGACGTTTTAAATGTAATAGCTGCTGAGTGTATACCAAAGTCCTCTACAACTCCACATGTGCGAAAGCCATGGTTTAATGCAGACTGTAAAATGATAGAAAAGCGAGGAAAAAGGCAGAGAAATATTTCCGCCATCACCCAACTGTCCACAACTTAAATCAATTTAAAATGCGCAATGCGAAGGCACGTCGTACCTTCAATCAAAATAAACGGCAATCTTGGAGGAACTATGTCTCCAAAATTAACTCACGTACGTCAATGTCTAAGGTATGGAACATGGTTCAAAGAATTAAAGGCAAAGGATCAAAATCTGCTGTTCACCATCTTAAAGATGGTGATAATTTAATTACTGACAAGTCTAAAATTGCAGATAAACTTGGCGAAACTCTTGCCAAAAATTCTTCATCGGCAAATTATGTCCCTGAGTTTCAGAGATATCAGAAACAACAGGAAAAGGCTAAACTTAATTTCGAATCCAATAACGGTGAAGATTATAATGAAGTGTTTTCATTATATGAGCTACATACTGCTCTTGAGCAAGCTCATGACACTGCAGCGGGTGATGATCATATATATTACCAGCTACTGAAACACTTACCTGAATCATGTCTGATGACAGTTTTAGATATATTTGACAAAATATGGACGTCTGGAGAATTTCCTCCTTCATGGCGTAATGCCATTGTCGTCCCAATACCAAAACCTGGCAAGGATCATACAGATCCGTCTAATTACAGACCAATATCTCTCACTAGCTGTGTCTGTAAAACCATGGAACGTATGGTGAATAATAGACTAACTTGGTATCTTGAAACCAATAACCTTATAACAAATATTCAATGTGGTTTCAGGAAAAATCGTAGTACCATTGATCATTTGGTACGTTTAGAATCCTTTGTTAAAAATGCAATCGTAAATAAACAACATGCCGTATCGATATTCTTTGATCTCGAGAAAGCATACGATACCACCTGGAAGCATGGCATTTTGAAGGATTTACATGATTTTGGTTTGAGGGGTCGTTTACCTCTTTTTATATCACAGTTTTTAAGAGGCAGGCAATTTCAAGTCCGAGTGGGTTCTACCCTGTCTGACCATTATAATCAGGATCAGGGTGTCCCACAAGGCAGTATTTTGTCGGTCACTTTATTTAGTATCAAGATTAACAGTTTGTCAAAGGTTTTAAATGATTCAATTGATGGATCTCTATTTGTGGATGATTTTAATATTTCTTGTCGCGGTAAGAATATGCATACTATTGAACGGCAAATGCAGCTGTGTTTAAATAAAATAAATAAATGGTGTCTTGAAAACGGCTTTAAATTTTCTAAATCAAAACTAATTGTATACATTTTGTAGAAAATATAAACCGCATAAAGACCCAGAACTGTTTCTCAATGGCGCTCCCATCAAAGTTGTAAAGGAGGCCAAGTTCTTGGGTTTAATATTTGA